CTCTCAACGATCAGCTATTCGACAAAACAGCAACCAACGCTCGAGGGGTTTACAACGGAATGGTACTCAGGATTCTACCGATGCCGGACGCACACGAAGCGAAAGCGAACGAAGAAGAAGTGTTCGGTTCTCTAACGCCAGTCCCTTCGACAACAACAGAACTTCACGATACACACTACCCTCACCTGACGAAGAAAGCACAAGGGCTCAGCGAACCCTCTCCTATGTACCTGGCTCAAGCGATGTCCTGACTACTACTCCTCGGGAAAGCCGAGCACCATCACCCAACTTTGAGAGGAGAGCTAGCATATCATCGACCTATTCCAACGACAACCCCTTTGCTTCAAAGCCAAGCTCGGTCAAGAGCGATCCTTTCGCAACAGAAAACAACACGCCTCGTGGGTCGTTTGATGCGCCACCCAAGCAACCTGAACCAGTACATCATGCTAAGCACAAGCGCAAGAACACTCTGCAATCAGTGGTCGATGGCATCATTCCTGGTTCTTTGCAACGTCGCATGACCAACGCATCTTACTTCCAACGGAGTGAGTTGTTCGGAACCTACGAGAAGGCCAAGCAGAAGGGTATCGAGATCCAGCGCAAGCCATGGGCACAAAACACTTTCGAGTACAGCTTGTATCTCGTTATGATCCTCTTCATATACTTTGTGCTTATTGGTATGCCGCTCTGGAAGGGTGCGGTCTGGTGGATGTACTGGGTTGTCCAAACCAAGTTTGTCCTTCCTGGTGGATTCGGTATCACTCTGGGTATTGCGCTATTGTAAGTTGGTCCTTGTAGACAACTTTGAGCTTTTGCTAATCTCTCCACAGCTACGCCTTTGCTCCTCTTCTTATCCTCTTCGAAAAGGACCCTCCACCTGCCGACTACACCACAGAAACCAAGTATCCATCCACTGTTGATGACACTTGTCTCATGATCCCTTGCTACAAGTCCGCCGGGCTCATTGCAAACACTCTCGAAGCTGCCTTGAAGATCTTCCCTGCATCCCACATCTTCGTCATTGCCAACGGAAACAGTCCCACGCCACTCGACAACACAGAAGAGGTCTGCCGCCCTTACGGAGTCAACCACATCTGGTCGCCCATCGGATCAAAGATTGTTGCTCAGTTCGTTGGCTGCTACGCCGCAAAGGGGTTCAAGAACGTCTTGCTCATCGACGATGACTGCGCCCTTCCCGATAACTTCCCCATCGTCACTGACCGCATGACTGACAAAGTCAAGTGCATTGGTTACACCATCAAATCCGTCGGACCTAATGGGTCCAAGGGAAACCTTTGCCAACAAGCCCAGGATCTTGAGTACAAGCTTAGTGGTATCCAGCGTGAATTTGCCGGCAAGATCGGTTCTGCTACCTTCCCCCACGGCGCCATCTCCCTCTGGGACCGCGAACTCCTCATCAAGACTTTCCACGAGCACCCCGGTTTCAGTGTATCAGAGGATTGGTTCTTCGGTCACGTCGCCCGCCAGCTTGGTTCGCGCATCAAGATGTGCTCGCAGGTTTTCGTCGAGACCGAGACCCCCACTGCCGTCTTCTTCGCTGGCGGCGGCTCTCGCGGTGGCTTCGGTGAAATGACCATCTTCTCTCAACGTTTCAAGCGCTGGAACTTCTTCTTCGTCAACGGCATGTACTACAACATGGCCTACATCCTCTGCGACTGGAAGCTCGGCTGGTGGGAGATTGGCGCTAAGATCTTTGTCTTCCAAGAGGTAAGCACATACACCTTTGCTACATCGCATCCCTTCACATATACTAACATACACACGTCTAGGTCTACGAAACTCTCCTTTACCTCCTCACTCCCTTCATCCTGCCCATCTCCTTTATCGTCCGCCCCGACTTTTGTGGTTACCTTCTCGCCGCCACAATCGTCATGTACGCCATCAACGTCATCATCTTCAACGAAGTACATCTCCGCCGCAAGAACGAGCGCGTCGGCTGGGTTCTCCTCTACGTCTACTACCTGCCCTACAAGATCGTCCTCACTTTCGTCAACGTCGCAAGCTGCTACTGGTCACTGTACAAGTACGCGCGCTACTTCGCTAAGCGCCACCCCAAGGTCATCGAGGACGAAAAGGCCGTCGAGGTCGTCATTCGCCTTGAAGAAGACCAGGCTTCCAAGCAAGGTGGTCTAGGTCGTCGCCTTACTGTGCGCACCGTTGGTGGTCGCCCCAGTGTTGAGGAGCAGGATGATGACTTGGATACCGCGAGGAACTCGCACGAAGGTGTTGTTGCCCCCCAGCCTATCATGTCCCCTGGCCTCCGTCAGGACTCGAGGCCTACCAGCCATGTGCTGAGGACTGAGGGCGTCGTGGCGAGGGATTACTTTGGTGAGAAGAACGCGGCACAGGGACGACCGCAGCAAGATGTTTGATCATCCACTCATTTTCTTCCTACATGACTTCTCCTTTTCTTCTTCTTCTTCTTCTTCTTCTTCTTCTTCTTCTTCTTCATCCTTCCTTTACATTATTCCTCTTCTCTTTCTTCTTCTCTTTCAAACAGAACCTTTACACCTTTCTTCATTCCTCTTCGTCGCACATACTTTCTACACACACTTTCTACAAACAACTTCTACACACTTTCTTTTTTTTACCTCTTTCCTTGTGTACGATATATAGACTTGGGGGAAGATTGCTCGGTACAGAAAAGAAAAATGTTTTCTGGAAAAGGATGCTCTGCGATATACCTATTTTTTTTAACTGTGTAATCAGTATTTATGAACATGAAAAAAATTTGCACTATATATTCATTTTTATTTTCTGATACTTTAATCAATGAAAAGTTTATGCATTACTCGTCGTGTCTCTTGAATTGTTTCCTGCTCTTGCTTTACCTCCTCTTCCACCGCCACCCCGACCACCTCGACCACCACCCCCTCTGCCTTTCTTCGCTTGCCCAACTTCCTTTTCCCACTCTTCAACATCAACAGCCACACCTTCAGGCAACTTGCCATCGCTCATCAGAACACCCCCATCCTTCTTCCTACTCTCGACGCGCTTGAAAAAGGTATACGGCAAAAAGCCCTGCTCATTGCCCTCTGTCAAAATGACACCATTCTCCGAGATGAAAAACTTGATACCAGCAGCAAGCGCAGCATCGATATCAACGTAGACCAGAATCGTCGAACTCTTGCGCATACCGGATATAACGGGCGCAGCGTCCGCAGATGCAGACGTCGAGTCGAGGGATTTGAATCCAGCGGGCAGTCCAGACGCAAAGTGGATGTGGTTTCTCCCCATGGGACGGAGACCGCCGCTCTTGAGGATGAGGTTCCAGGCGCGCTCGTCGGTGCCGTGGACGACTGTCTCGGGCACGTTTCCGGCTTCGGCGGAGATGGGGACGAGGAGGCCTTCGTTGTCGACTTTGATCGAGTGACCTTGGTTCGCGCGGATGACGTAGTCTGCAGGATCGTCTGATTCCTGTATGCTTTCCAGTTGCTCTGATACAGGCACTTCAGATGATTCCTTGTCAAGTGATGAGACTGGAATCATGGAGAAGCGCTGTTTCTCGTTGTTTGCGACTGCGTCACGGACTTCTGCAAAGGTGATTTTGAGGCTTTGAAGAGCCTTGGTGTTGAGCTGTGGACTGTTAATTTTTTGCTGCTTGCCAAAAAAAAAGCCAATGAAAACGGATCCATCCGACTACGATTCTCAAAAAGGGGTTTCCAAATTCTGGCTCTTTTTTTTTTTGTTCCCGATGACTTTGGTTTATGTACACTGCAATTACACACTTACCGCATCTTGGACATTGACATAGCCACCCTTTCCTAATTTCAGTCCCTCCTGGTCAGCTCCATGTCTGAGTAACCAGCTTATCTTCTTTGAAACCTGCACTTCTCTTGGCTGATTGGCCGGATTGCGACTGCCGCCGCCACGACCCCCTCTGGCCATGTTTGTGATAGTCCTGCTGAAGATGCGCGAAATATTTGCGGGCCGAATTTTGACGAATGCGGGGACAAGTTGACAAGATATATCCAGGATTATGTTAGGCAACACTCTGAGTCGAGATGAGTGATGTATGGTGAGTCAAACACGATAGTTCCGAAAAGGCGAATGAGTAGTGAGAAGTATAGGTGATTGGGGAAAAAAGGTTAGCGTCAGATTTGTGCGCAGCAGCCCCGCAATCATTGGTGGCGCTTGCAGAGGATCTACTTTTGTCACTTGTATGTAAACAGGTTGGAATGCCACCAGATTCAAGTAAGACGACTGTGTTCTCATCCCGAGGAAGACCTGGCTGCTCTTTGCGATACATGTATCCCGCAGGTTCCCGGGAATTCGAATAATGAGGTTGTTTGCAGTAGGAGCTAGGTACCTATGGACACTACCCCATTTACCATATGGTCCCAGCATTTCTTGAGAATAGAAATCGTGAGACCATCTCCTACAGTGTTCTTGTCTATAAGCCATTGAGGCTGATGTGAGATATCTTAAACACATACGTTCACAAGATCACATCCTTCCTACTTGGAGTCCACTTCCTCACCAGTCTCTCCGATAAGATGCCTGCTATTCCAAAGCATATCTACGTACCACATAGTGTTGATAGAGAAACGACTTTTAAGACCGAGAACCATCAATCAACAAAGTACCCAATCCTCATATCCTAGACATGATATTACCAATCAAGTATAATCGCTCATGTTCAGAGGGAGGACAAAGTACTAGTAATCTTCGAGGCATGCTGCGTAGTACAAGTATACAATGGCATTCCCGTTATTGGACATCCCTGCATCTGCAGTGCTCCATAGAGCCTAGATATCTTTAGCGCAATTCCTCATAATCAAGGAAATAGTCTTCAACGCATTGCTAAACAATATTATTGACAAGCAAAAGAGTACTACGCTTCTCCTCGTTCAACGCCTGGCAGGGGTAAGAAAGAGAAAAAATATTGTCATAAATCTGCGATCAACACTCTGGCAATCTTTATCTCCAGTGTTTCCGCCCATTAATATGTAATTGAAGCCCATTGTCCAAAAAGCATATCAGCACGCACAGCCCTCTTTGGGACCCTGTGGCTGCGCGCTGCCCAAGTTTACCCGGTCAGCATCTTGCCTAGTCAGGTTGGTTTGGCCGCCGACGTGGCGTGGTCCCTTCAAACTCGCCTCTGGAATTGCGTTTGCGATGGCAGTGAATACCTCAGCAACGTTGTGGCCAGTCTTTGCACTCGTCTCGAAGAACAATAAACTCTCTTCATCCGCATATGCCTTTGCAGTCTTGCTGGGCACTCTCCTGGAGTCTTGGTCGTCTTGTGCCTGCTCTTCCTCTCCCTCGGCTGCAGGCGCAGCATCCGCATCCTCTGGCCTGTCCTCGTCACCAGCAGCGGCAAGATCGAATTTGTTTCCTACAAGCGCAATGACGATGCCGGGCGAGGCTTGACGATGCAGTTCGGCAACCCAGTGTTGAGCTTTTGTGAGAGATGAGGGCTTGGTGATATCGTACACGACGAGGGCGGCTTGCGCATTGCGATAGTACATGGGTGCAAGCGAGGCAAAACGTTCCTGGCCTGCGGTATCCCAGATCTCGAACTTGATGGTACGGCTCGGTAGATTACATTTCTGCGTGAGGAAAGCAGCTGTCAGGAGTCATGTTAGCCTCAAGGCGCCGCTTGAGAATGGGATCAGTAGGGTGGCTGTGTCCATACCTCCGATAGTTGGCTCTTTGTTTTCTTGGAAGTCATTGTTCACGAAGCGCATAACAAGGGAAGACTAGCATCGAAGTCAGTTCATGTTCAAAACTGACGTATTGACATCGCGCACCTTTCCCACAGCCGCCTCTCCTAGCAGCACAAGCTTGACACTGCTGCTTGGCTTAGGTTGCGCGGATGCGTCCGCCATCGTCGATGCGTGAGATGATGCGATTTGGAACTTGCGGGCTGTGTATAGGTGCGACTGATCGTTGAGAGATGTATCTCAATGTTCCAGTATCGTGCGCGATGTGAGGATGCAGTTTGGGTCCAGGCAGCGATGTTGCTGGTGGACGGTTTGAGGTTGCCGAGCACAATGACGAACGTCAAGCACGTGAGCTGCTGACTAAGATGGGTATCGTTTCCGATGCCTTTGTACTACGTACACAAATATCCTTGCAGGCATATTGGTTACACAAATTGCATTTACTATCCGTAGCGACTTACCCAAGAGAGTCATTTCATGGTATGCTCTGATTTATTCTGCATATCAGAGGCTGACTGTAAGACCACAAAGAAGTTGGAGTATCCTCTTGTGCTGCACGCTTGTCAGAAGTCATCCCACAGCCATCTGTTATCGATAGGGTACAAAACCATGACCAGGCCATTTGTTCATAGAGAATAACATTGATGTTCGAGGCACTGACTGAACAAATCTTGATGCAGTCAGATGATGTTAAATGACCTGCCCAACCTGCCGCGCAAGCTGCGTCAGCATCGGAAGTTCCTGCCTCTCACTTGACGGCTTAGACAAGCCTCTACAAAATCACTCAATTGCACAACCAGTGAAAAGTGGCGGAGATGATTTGGACAGAAGGTATGGGTAGAGAGTACTACACACTGCACCAAGGACTTTGGGACCATGCAGTAAAGTACTGTGAAATCCTGTTTCCTGTTTGTACTTTTTACAGCAAGAAGCACCGGACCAGCATTTCGAGGTTAAGTAGTTCGGTTACTACTAGTACTAACATTGCTCATTCCCGCGGTCTGAGGCACTTGTGCAAAAAAGACAGACCGCAACTCTGTCTGTCCTAGCATGAGGCGTCGTTGGCGACAACGCATACCGATCTTCGAAAAAAAAAGTCGCAGCCAACACCTCAAGTGGGGACTTTTGGGCAACTATGTGCTTGGTGCTCAACAACATTTTTTTCTTTTCGAAGGGCCGACTCTTGGATTGTGGGAGGCGTGAAACTGGATTGTTGTTGTTTGTGGGAGCAAGGAAGACGAGAAGCGGTTGGTGATTGTTCATCGCTTAGTCACTGGTTACCAGCATCTTCTGGCATTACAACGGGCCGAAGGAGCCCACGTCATGGAAAAATGTACGGGATGCAACATGTGCATCGGGCGATGCTGCAGGATGAAATTATTTTGTACAGCCATCGCGAATGACGTCACGTCGGTCGGTAGTATGAAACCCTACGCGGTTTGGTGTGCCGAGCGTGGCCATGGCCAAAGTGGGCTTCGCAGGGGATGCTTTTGGACAAGTGTCTGAGTCAGCGAGCGCACGTGCAAACGAGTTGCGTGCTGATTGAGGCCCCCTGAGCCGTCATCTACCGGGCTGTAACAAAAATGTTTGGCAGGAGACGGAGAAATATTGTAGACAGTGAAGAGGGCGATGGATGGAGGCCAATTGTACTAGACTTGTCACAGTGCCAATGGCAGGCGTGCGGGCGGCAATGTGGCGTCTTTGACCCCTCAAGTACCCAGAGCCACGGGACTCCCGAACCGGCAGGCGCAATTGAATGCTCTCCTGCATCTGCATCTGCATACCCTACATGGAATGAAGACACCACACCGGAAGGTCGTGGATGGCGACTCCAGAGCGCAGTGCACCCCACCGCCATGCTGCCAACCGGCTCCTCGACCAAGGGCTGTCATTGGGTGCAGCGTAGCACGCCCACATGGACATGGGAGCGACTACGTGTGTAAACCAGGCACCGCGGTGACCGGAGCGAAGACGATGGCTTGGCAGGTGTATGGAGAGAGTGCATGTGGTGGTAATTGAGGATGCAGGTATGCAGGCAATTGCGTATGTAGATGAGTAAGAAGTATTGCGTGCATGTGTGTGTGTGTGTGTGTGTGTGCAGTGCTCCATGGGCAAAGTGTCGAGATGCTGATGGGGTCCAGAAGGGCACCACAGGCCGGCCGTCATGTGGCGGTGATTGTGTGGTGCAGATGCGGCATGGCCCAACAGGCAGAGGCTCCACCGCAGCGAATGGCAGGACGGGGCGATGGCTCGCGCGATAATAGCAGCACAGACGCCAGGCGTGCGACCGATCGCGATGACGCCAAGCGCCGGTCTCGCGTTCCGAGGGCAAGGGGGGAGGGGGGAAGGGGGGCGTCAGGCTCGTCAGGCTGGCCAGGCTGACCACGACTGTGTGTTGCAATGGGCAGAGAGGACGACAACCATGGCCTGCTGGCTGGACGGCCACTACAGAGGATGCAGATGGCGCAAACGCCTGTTGGCAGGCGGCCATGTCGGCGCTGAGGGCACCACGGCCAGACACAGCAGCGATCGGCTGGGCTGTTGTGGCCGTGGCCGTCTCCAGACAAGCGCTCGGTTCCCCGTGTCCTTGATCCGCCCGAGCCGGCATGGACCAAGCGCGGCCATGGCAAAGTGCGTCTCCCCTCTGCGATTAGTAGCCAGCATGCGCCTGGCGATCGGCGTTGTCCACTCCAGGCCTAGCCAGCCTGACGTGAATCCATGCTCGAATCACCCAAGCGGGGATGCACTCTAGAAGACGCACTAGCTATGGTCCCCTTTGACAAACCCGCCCTTGGGCCAGGAACACGCACAAAAAAAAGTTTCCTTCGTTTGGATTTGGCACCGCCGGGCCAGCGAGCAGCGCAGCGCAGCGCACCACAGCGCACCACAGCATCCGGCACCCTTCTGCCCTGGGCCCAAGGGCCGCTCCTAGACGCGTGTGTCTGTCCGCTGAAACACGCATCCAGTGCGCGCGGGGAAATGCCGCATCCCAGATCCCCCCAGGGCCTTTGCAGCCTTTAATCCAAAGCAGTGCGGTCCAGAGGGCCAAAGGGGGCTTGCCTGCTCGCTTCCAGCCACTGCATGGGCGGGAACTTGGGAGGGCGCCTTCGCCGGGGCCTACCTACTTATCAGTCACGTTGGTCGGCTTGTGGGATGGGAGCGTCCGGCTGACCCCAGATGCCGCGTGCCATGTTTGCGACTAAATAATAAAAAAGTTGCTGCGTCTGGAATTGCTGTGACAGTCTGACATCCCTTATTTTTTCCCCTCCCTCTTCATGTAATCAATCCACCCCCTTGCTCCCGCCCTCCTCGTCGTGCGAAGCAGCAGTGCGTTGTTATTCACCAGGCCCGGCCACATTTCCCAGGCTGTGCAATCGAGACTCCCCGTCGGATACAGTAGTAACTCCATATCAGGAGCTCGGGCGTCACCCCACTTGTCGAATAGCATTCCGCGAACTGTCCACACGCCGTATTTTTGGATAAACGCCTCCTTCACCTAGCACACGCCTTCCGCACACATTTCTTGTTAAATATTCCCACACACTGGCTCCCTGCGCTGCCCTGCATTGTCTCAACAAGCCCGTTTCAGCCGCATCGCCCATTGTAGCCCCGACACTTCGGACACGGTGCGACAATTGCTCGGCCCTGCTGACGAAGCCGGACGAACAAAGCAAACACCAAACTACTGGCAACTTTTTTTGGGGGGGGACCCAACATGACCGTACACAAGGTACCTACCTCTACTGCTTCCCGCTGCCATTGCTCCCTAAGCACTTGCACTGACCGGCTGCCCCCTATCCAGGAACCCATCAACGTCCGACCCGCCAGCCAACAACGGCACTCATCCAGCACCATGGCCGGCTCGCTCCCCAAGAACCGAACCCACTCGCAGTCCATATCCGCCGCCAACCTCCACCCGGCACATCGCGTAACGCGCAGGAAAAGCATGAGCCAGACGCCCGTCACAAACATCGCTGCCATCGCTGCGGCGGCCAAGGGCATGTCCGGGGCTCCGCTCGAGGGCGCCAGTAGTAGCGGCAGCAGTAGCGGTCCGCGCCGCTCCTCCAAACCCGCATCGCAGTTCAGGGGGCCCAGCATGGCAATGGCCTCGAGCATGGCCTCGAGTGTGCCCGCTCATGGCGCGCAGTTCGGTGCCAGCAGTTACGGCAGTGCTACCAAGAGTGAGGCTCTCACCGACGGACCCACGCTCGCAACCATGTTGGAGCAGGACAAGGCAAATGCAAAGTCGCGGAACCGCCGCGCGAGCGAGGGCTCTCGCCTGTCCAAGGGCGACGTCAAGCGAAGTGGTAGCGAACTGAGATGTGAAAAATGCGGCAAAGGCTATAAGCACAGCAGCTGTCTGACCAAGCACCTGTTAGTAACCCTTAGCCTCCCATGGCCCTGCCACATACTTTCATGCCTCATGACGAATGCCCTTTCTTCACTCGCATGTCCATATAAACTGCCTTGCTCTTCTCAAGTTCTGCGTTGACTTTTTTGATTCTAGATGGGAGCATACACCGGAATGGCAGTACACATCCAAGCTGCTCATCTCCAAGCATCAGCAGGTGCAGCTGCTCGAGGCTGCCTCGGTCCTCGTTGCCATGAACAAGGAGAGCGACGGCGAGCACAGCGACCGCTCCTCTCCCCCCGCCTCGGGCTCATCCGACGTGCGTGAGGACTTGAGCTCCACAGAAACTACCCCGCCCCCACAGCTCGACGACCATGCCGTAGGCTCTTACCCTCACTCGCACTTTGGCACTCGCTCTATGAAGCGTTACTCTACCAACAGCTCTGCCTACAGCCAATCTTACCAGTCGACTGTCTTCTCCGACAACGGTAATGGTAACGCGCACGGTCACTTCCGACAGTGGAGTAATGTCTCTGACCGACCTACTACTTCAGGCACCTCGGTAGCCGGCTCCTACCATGATGATGCTAATGACCACGCCGACCTCGCTGCTGCCGTCGGCCTGCTCAGCTGCTCCTACGGCACCCCCAAGACAGGGCCCGTCGCCCTGCCCGCAGATGCGCCACCCGTGCCCCCGCTCCCAGCAAAGTATTTTGACCTGAATGCCCGCACCCTGTCTGGTAGCACTACCGTCACGGCCCAGCAGTCGAGTATGCGCAACAGCTATCGCCACACTAGTGAAAGTAAAGACGTCGATATGGACGACGATCACTTTGCCGATGAAGAGGATTACCGTTACTCCAACGCGCGCAGTCGCAGTCGCATTGACGAGGACGACGATGAAATCTTTGGAAGGATGGAAGAGTAGCTGTGTCCACACACACGTCCTACCCACCCTTCACCGCATCCCGGCCTCATTATCCGACATTCCCGTCCGTGCGCTGCATCCTTATCTTTCTTCTGTACCACAAACGAAACATTTAGTTATTTAGCGACCTATCTCCGCATAGTAAACAGACGCAGCCTGGACACCGATGAGAGGGCCCTCAACCATACCCCATCCGCCAATGACACCAAGTTGTCGATGCCCTTGAGGTTGAAGTACAGGTTTTGCATAATACTGAACTGGCGTCTGTTTGATCATCTGCGTCGAGAGCCTAGCAACATCTCAAATATCTAGTACCCATATCAGCGCGAGGATTGACCTCGTTTTTTTTGGCTTGTATTTTTCTTTATTTTCTCTTTCTTGCTTTCGGCTTGTCTTCAAACAAGAAACATATAAAACCTGGCACACGCTTTTTGTTTTTTTTGGACGGGGAGGTAGAACGGAGGTTGGAGGTGCGCTGGCTAGCGTGACCTTTTGTATATTCGGACGGGACGGGAAAGGAAGATGGGGGGACGGAGGGAGAAAGAAGAGCGAGGTGCATTGTATAAACAGCAAAGCACAATGTGGAGGGTCAACGGGTGTGTAGAGTGGAAGCAGGAATGAATGCACAATATGTTGAAAAAGAGAAAAACGACTTGAGCATGCGTGAGAAAGTGATGGAGACGAGTGCAAGACTGAAAGAAAGAAGACCAAAGAGTTGAAGAAAGTGGAAAAAGTTCGGGCCCTTTTGAACAATTCTCACATCGCTCAATCTCGCCGAAAATGCGAAAACGAGGCAGACCGGCGGTGCCTTACCTTTCCTAATCCAGGAAGACGACCAAACCCACTAGGGTTATTGCTCCCTTGGCGTCATCTCCAGCAGGTAGGGTAATGCTATGTTGCAAACATGATTGTCACTTACCTAGCTAACTCATCATCTAACACCCATTCCTTAGAAACGAATGTCAAGAAACAAAGCAAAAAGTGAAGAAAATAGTCAAGCACCGCGAAGGAAGGCACCGACCTCTTTATACCCCAAACCACCAACCCCACCCACACTTACTCTCCTCCCTCTTTCAGACAAGAGAAAGAAAAAAAAGATTTAAAATTAGAAAGGGGGAAAGAATGTGCCACGGAAATACGTAAAAAAAGGCCGCAACGGGAAATCTCCCCAATTGAGGGCGGGGAGAGAGAGAGAGAGAGAGGCGAAGATCGTATATAGTAGAGCGGGTTGTGTTACGCGTCCATAACATGGGGTTTTTTTTATTCCTTCATACACGCATGATACACGAAAAGGCCCTCTCTAAACTTAAATAAACGGGAAATAGATTGGCGAAACGACGATCAAACCCTGTCATCTGTCCCCTTCTTTTTTTTTACCCGCCTTCCCGCTGCTGCTACGGCTGCTACTGCGGTGACGTGATAACGGGAGAAGGTGTGATCGTCATTTCGTTCTTCGGAGATTCGCCTGGATAGGTAGATGTTGGACGTTTTTTTTGGTCGCTTGGGTATGCGTGTTGGTTGATGGTTAAATAGGGGTGGGGGTGGAGGATTTTTTTCCTTTGAAGATCTTGTGCCCTTTTCGTTTGGAGGAGGATTTGGAGGTGTGGGGTGCGGTTTGGATCACGATGGGGGGGGGGNGGGTTTGGGGAAGGTACGCCTTGATGGTTGTGTGTGGTGTGGGAGGTGGACTTAGAGGTTTTGCGGTGTCTGAATGATGAATAGTGGGTTGGTGAGTCTCCTGTAGGACTGAGAGTGGGTGTCTTTTCTCTTTTTAGATGTGAAATAATGTATACTCCACTTCATTGGAGCTGTTCTCATATGTGTGTCTGTGAAGGTCTCATCTGTTGCATGGGAAATTGTTTGTTAGAGTATGTCTGAAGTGAGATGAATATTCGGGCAAGAGGTGCAGACACAGAATAAGTAGCAGGTATTTTCTGGACTGCACGATGGTCCCTAGAGAGATTTGAAAGGTGAATGTCGGGCTATGTGAGGATGCTCTTTGCTGTGTCTTCCATACACGTGGCCATGCAGTCCCTGTCGTGTGCGCACTTGTATCGCATTTTTCATGGCGATTTATTATGGCAAAAGCTGCCTGAGAAACAGCTTGAAGTAGAATGCTCTGAATAGATGCAACAAATCAGATCTAGATATCATACTGAGCTGCACTAGTCTGCTGGATGGCTGATGCAGGCCAAGGGCGAGGGTTGGTGGAAGCTATGGCGTCACCCTGCGACCCTGAAGATCGGCAGCGACGGCCTCTTCGGCGGCGCTCACTGGCCGTCGACCAACAACAAGATGCCCTCGACGGCTCGACGCATACCAGACATTTCGATGCCCTCCGACGAGCGCTGACTAACCCTCTGCTCCAATGCACCCAGCCCTCTCTACATTTGCCGATCATGTCGTCAAATACCGTGACGCCCTCTTCCTGCTCGCGCCACCGCTCTACGTCGTCCTCACGGCTGTCGCTGCCCTCTACACACCCACGCACCATTCGCTCCTCGTGACGGCAATCTCCTGGCTCATTGTATGGGTGCCCACAGTCTTCTGGGTCGGCATATACTCCAACAGCAGCAGGCCGCAGAGGAAGGCTGCCTGGCTGGCTGGCGCACTCTTGGCTCTATCAGCAGTATGCGACCGTGCCGCGTGCGACAAACATGGCATCTGGGCTACAAAGGTAACCGCCTGTGTAACAACGATTCCCTCTCGCAGCTATTGACTCCCTGCAGGCTCTATTGCTCTTCCTCACCAATTTCTTCGCCGACAATGAACTACTTGCCAAGCGCCTCGCCCTGCCCACCTACACTGTCCCGGACGACCATTCCCATGCCACCGAGAAGAAACTCCCCGCCGATGCAGCAGGTCACATAGATCAGCCTGGGAATTTGTTGGTGCTGACCGTCTGCGCGAGCTGCGCCCTGGGC